CCAGCTGTAATGTCAGTGGTCGCTTTGATTTGATTTTTGGTTTGCTTGTAGGGCGCTGGCACCCACATTCAGTGACCCAAAAAATTTGGCACTGCTGTGAATAGTTTAGTCGTAAAGTGAAGATTCACGGGTAAAAAGCCCCAAACTGTGAGATTGGTTATTTTTCAGCTTTCAGCAGCCCTGGGCAAGTTCTATAGAGAAATGTGGCTCTTTTTCTTGGTGCACTTGTCTATGTCCAGCAGCACAACGAGATGAGGTTGGTCATTGTCATTTTCTGAGCTGTTAACGGGCAGGAAGGTGAGAAAATGTCGGATTTTGACCATTTGTGCTGACCTTTGAATTTCAATGTACCTCTCTATAACATGCCCCAGCTGTAATGTCCGTGGTCGCATTGATTTGATTTTTGGTTTGCTTGTAGGACGCTGGCACCTTCATTCAGTGACCCAGAAAATGTGGCACTGCTGTGAATAGTTTAGTCGCAAAGTGAAGATTCACGGGTAAAAAGCCCCAAACTGTGAGATTGGTTATTTTTCAGCTTTCAGCAGCCCTGGGCAAGTTCTTTGGAGAAATGTGGCTCTTTTTCTTAGTGCACTTGTCTATGTCCAGCTGCACAACGAAATGAGGCTGGTCATTGTCATTTTCTGAGCTGTGAACGGGCAGGAAGGTGAGAAAATGTCGGATTTTGACCATTTGCGCTGACCTTTGAATTTCAATGTACCTCTCTATAACATGACCCAGCTGTAATGTCAGTGGTCGCATTGATTTGATTTTTGGTTTGCTTGTAGGGCGCTGGCACCTTCATTCAGTGACCCAGAAAATGTGGCACTGCTGTGAATAGTTTAGTCGCAAAGTGAAGATTCACGGGTAAAAAGCCCCAAACTGTGAGATTGGTAATTTTTCAGCTTTCAGCAGCCCTGGGCAAGTTCTTTGGAGAAATGTGGCTCTTTTTCTTGGTGCACTTGTCTATGTCCAGCTGCACAACGAGATGAGGCTGGTCATTGTCATTTTCTGAGCTGTAAACGGGCAGGAAGGTGAGAAAATGTCGGATTTTGACCATTTGTGCTGACCTTTGAATTTCAATGTACCTCTATAACTTGACCCAACTGTAATGTCAGTGGTCGCATTGATTGGACTTTTGGTTGTCTTGTAGGGGGCTGGCACCCACATTCAGTCACCCAGAAAATGTGGCACTGCTGTGAATAGTTTAGTCGCAAAGTGAAGATTCACGGGTAAAAAGCCCCAAACTGTGAGATTGGTTATTTTTCAGCTTTCAGCAGCCCTGTGCAAGTTCTTTAGAGAAATGTGGCTCTTTTTCTTGGTGCACTTGTCTATGTCCAGCTGCACAACGAGATGACGCTGGTCATTGTCATTTTCTGAGCTGTGAACGGGCAGGAAGGTGAGAAAATGTCGGATTTTGACCATTTGTGTTGACCTTTGAATTTCAATGTACCTCTCTATAACATGACCCAGCTGTAATGTAAGTGTTCGCGTTGATTTGATTTTTGCATTGCTTGTAGGGCGCTCGCACCTACATTCAGTGACCCAAAAAATGTGGCACTGCTGTGAATAGTTTAGTCGCAAAGTGAAGATTCACGGGTAAAAAGCCCCAAACTGTGAGATTGGTTATTTTTCAGCTTTAAGCAGCCCTGTGCAAGTTCTTTAGAGAAATGTGCCTCTTTTTCTTGGTGCACTTGTCTATGTCCAGCTGCACAACGAGATGAGGCTGGTCATTGTCATTTTCTGAGCTGTGAACGGGCAGGAAGGTGAGAAAATGTCGGATTTTGACCATTTGTGCTGACCTTTGAATTTCAATGTACCTCTCTATAACTTCACCCAACTGTAATGTCAGTGGTCGCATTGATTTGATTTTTGGTTTGCTTGTAGGGCGCTGGCACCCACATTCAGTGACCCAAAAAATTTGGCACTGCTGTGAATAGTTTAGTCGCAAAGTGAAGATTCACGGGTAAAAAGCCCCAAACTGTGAGATTGGTTATTTTTCAGCTTTCAGTAGCCCTGGGCAAGTTCTTTGGAGAAGTGTGGCTCTTTTTCTTGGGGCACGTGTCTATGTCCAGCTGCATAACGAGATGAAGCTGGTCATTGTCATTTTCTGAGCTGTGAACGGGCAGGAAGGTGAGAAAAGGTCGGATTTTGACCATTTGTGCTGACCTTTCAATTTCAATGTACTTCTCTATAACATGACCCAGCTGTAATGTAAGTGATTTGATTTTTGGTTTGCTTGTAGAGCGCTGGCATACATATTTAGTCACCCAGAAAATGTGGCACTGCTGTGAATAGTTTAGTCGCAAAGTGAAGATTCACGGGTAAAAAGCCCCAAACTGTGAGATTGGTTATTTTTCAGCTTTCAGCAGTCCTGTGCAAGTTCTTTAGAGGAATGTGGCTCTTTTTCTTGGTGCACTTGTCTATGTCCAGCTGCATAACGAGATGAGGCTGGTCATTGTCATTTTCTCAGCTGTGAACGGGCAGGAAGGTGAGAAAATGTCGGATTTTGACCATTTGTGCTGACCTTTGAATTTCAATGTACCTCTCTATAACTTCACGCAGCTGTAATGTCAGTGGTCGCATTGATTTGATTTTTGGTTTGCTTGTAGGGCGCTGGCACCTTCATTCAGTGACCCAGAAAATGTGGCACTGCTGTGAATAGTTTAGTCGCAAAGTGAAGATTCACGGGTAAAAAGCCCCAAACTGTGAGATTGGTTATTTTTCAGCTTTCAGCAGCCCTGTGCAAGTTCTTTAGAGAAATATGGCTCTTTTTCTGGGTGCACTTGTCTATGTCCAGCTGCACAACGAGATGAGGCTGGTCTGTGTCATTTTCTAAGCTGTGAACGGGCAGGAAGGTGAGAAAATGTCGGATTTTGACCATTTGTGCTGACCTTTCAATTTCAATGTACCTCTCTATAACATGACCCAGCTGTAATGTAATTGGTCGCGTTGATTTGATTTTTGGTTTGCTTGTAGAGCGCTGGCATCCACATACAGTGACCCATAAAATGTGGCACTGCCGTGAATAGTTTATTCGCAAAGTGAAGATTCACGGGTAAAAAGCCCCAAACTATGAGATTGGTTATTTTCCGCTTTCAGCAGCCCTGGGCAAGTTCTTTGGAGAAATGTGGCTCTTTTTCTTGGTGCACTTGTCTATGTCCAGCTGCACAACGAGATGAGGCTGGTCATTGTCATTTTCTAAGCTGTGAACGGGCAGGAAGGTGAGAAAATGTCGGATTTTGACCATTTGTGCTGGCCTTTGAATTTCAATGTACCTCTCTATAACATGATCCAGCTGTAATGTCAGTGGTCGCTTTGATTTGATTTTTGGTTTGCTTGTAGGGTGCTGGCACCCACATTCAGTGACCCAAAAAATTTGGCACTGCTGTGAATAGTTTAGTCGCAAAGTGAAGATTCACGGGTAAAAAGCCCCAAACTGTGAAATTGGTTATTTTTCAGCTTTCAGCAGCCCTGGGCAAGTTCTTTAGAGAAATGTGGCTCTTTTTCTTGGTGCACTTGTCTATGTCCAGCTGCACAACGAGATGAGGCTGGTCATTGTCATTTTCGGAGCTGTGAACGGGCAGGAAGGTGAGAAAATGTCGCATTTTGACCATTTGCGCTGACCTTAGAATTTCAATGTACCTCTCTATAACATGACCCAGCTGTAATGTCAGTGGTCGCTTTGATTTGATTTTTGGTTTGCTTGTTGGGTGCTGGCACCCACATTCAGTGACCCAAAAAATTTGGCACTGCTGTGAATAGTTTAGTCGCAAAGTGAAGATTCACGGGTAAAAAGCCCCAAACTGTGAGATTGGTTATTTTTCAGCTTTCAGCAGCCCTGGGCAAGTTCTTTAGAGAAATGTGGCTCTTTTTCTTGGTGCACTTGTCTATGTCCAGCTGCACAACGAGATGAGGCTGGTCATTGTCATTTTCTGAGCTGTGAACGGGCAGGAAGGTGAGAAAATGTCGGATTTTGACCATTTGCGCTGACCTTAGAATTTCAATGTACCTCTCTATAACATGACCCAGCTGTAATGTCAGTGGTCGCATTGATTTGATTTTTGGTTTGCTTGTAAGGCGTTGGCACCCACATTCAGTGACCCAAAAAATTGGGCACTGCTGTGAATAGTTTAGTCGCAAAGTGAAGATTCACGGGTAAAAAGCCCCAAACTGTGAGATTGTTTATTTTTCAGCTTTCAGTAGCCTCGGGCAAGTTCTTTGGAGAAATGTGGCTCTTTTCCTTGGTGCACTTGTCTATGTCCAGCTGCATAACGAGATGAGGCTGGTCATTGTCATTTTCTGAGCTGTGAACGGGCAGGAAGGTGAGAAAATGTCGGATTTTGACCATTTGTGCAGACCTTTCAATTTCAATGTACTTCTCTATAACATGACCCAGCTGTAATGTAAGTGGTCGCGTTGATTTGATTTTTGGTTTGCTTGTAGAGCGCTGGCATACACATTTAGTCACCCAGAAAATGTGGCACTGCTGTGAATAGTTTATTCGCAAAGTGAAGATTAACGGGTAAAAAGGCCCAAACTGTGAGATTGGTTATTTTTCAGCTTTCAGCAGCCCTGTGCAAGTTCTTTAGAGAAATGTGGCTCTTTTTCTTGGTGCACTTGTCTATGTCCAGCTGCACAACGAGATGAGGCTGGTCTGTGTCATTTTCTAAGCTGTGAACGGGCAGGAAGGTGAGAAAATGTCGGATTTTGACCATTTGTGCTGACCTTTCAATTTCAATGTACCTCTCTATAACATGACCCAGCTGTAATGTAATTGGTCGCGTTGATTTGATTTTTGGTTTGCTAGTAGAGCGCTGGCATCCACATTCAGTGACCCAGAAAATGTGGCACTGCTGTGAATAGTTTAGTCGCAAAGTGAAGATTCACGGGTAAAAAGCCCCAAACAATGAGATTGGTTATTTTTCAGCTTTCAGCAGCCCTGGGCAAGTTCTTTGGAGAAATGTGGCTCTTTTTCTTGGTGCACTTGTCTATGTCCAGCTGCACAACGAGATGAGGCTGGTCATTGTCATTTTCTAAGCTGTGAACGGGCAGGAAGGTGAGAAAATGTCGGATTTTGACCATTTGTGCTGACCTTTGAATTTCAATGTACCTCTCTATAACATGATCCAGCTGTAATGTCAGTGGTCGCTTTGATTTGATTTTTGGTTTGCTTGTAGGGTGCTGGCACCCACATTCAGTGACCCAAAAAATTTGGCACTGCTGTGAATAGTTTAGTCGCAAAGTGAAGATTCACGGGTAAAAAGCCCCAAACTGTGAGATTGGTTATTTTTCAGCTTTCAGCAGCCCTGGGCAAGTTCTTTAGAGAAATGTGGCTCTTTTTCTTGGTGCACTTGTCTATGTCCAGCTGCACAACGAGATGAGGCTGGTCATTGTCATTTTCTGAGCTGTGAACGGGCAGGAAGGTGAGAAAATGTCGGATTTTGACCATTTGCGCTGACCTTAGAATTTCAATGTACCTCTCTATAACATGACCCAGCTGTAATGTCAGTGGTCGCATTGATTTGATTTTTGGTTTGCTTGTAAGGCGTTGGCACCCACATTCAGTGACCCAAAAAATTGGGCACTGCTGTGAATAGTTTAGTCGCAAAGTGAAGATTCACGGGTAAAAAGCCCCAAACTGTGAGATTGTTTATTTTTCAGCTTTCAGTAGCCTCGGGCAAGTTCTTTGGAGAAATGTGGCTCTTTTTCTTGGTGCACTTGTCTATGTCCAGCTGCATAACGAGATGAGGCTGGTCATTGTCATTTTCTGAGCTGTGAACGGGCAGGAAGGTGAGAAAATGTCGGATTTTGACCATTTGTGCTGACCTTTCAATTTCAATGTACCTCTCTATAACTTGACCCAACTGTAATGTCAGTGGTCGCATTGATTGGACTTTTGGTTGTCTTGTAGGGCGCTGGCACCCACATTCAGTCCCCCAGAAAATGTGACACTGCTGTGAATAGTTTAGTCGCAAAGTTAAGATTCACGGGTAAAAAGCCCCAAACTGTGAGATTGGTTATTTTTCAGCTTTAAGCAGCCCTAGGCAAGTTCTTTAGAGAAATGTGGCTCTTTTTCTTGGTGCACTTGTCTATGTCCAGCTGCACAACGAGATGAGGCTGGTCATTGTCATTTTCTGAGCTGTGAACGGGCAGGAAGGTGAGAAAATGTCGGATTTTGACCATTTGTGCTGACCTTTGAATTTCAATGTACCTCTCTATAACATGACCCAGCTGTAATGTAAGTGTTTGCGTTGATTTGATTTTTGCATTGCTTGTAGGGCGCTGGCACCTACATTCAGTGACCCAAAAAATGTGGCACTGCTGTGAATAGTTTAGTCGCAAAGTGAAGATTCATATAAAGCCCCAAACTGTGAGATTGGTTATTTTTCAGCTTTAAGCAGCCCTAGGCAAGTTCTTTAGAGAAATGTGCCTCTTTTTCTTGGTGCACTTGTCTATGTCCAGATGCACAACGAGAAGAGGCTGGTCATTGTCATTTTCTGAGCTGTGAACGGGCAGGAAGGTGAGAAAATGTCGGATTTAGACCATTTGCGCTGACCTTTGAATTTCTATGTACCTCTCTATAACATGACCCAGCTGTAATGTCAGTGGTCGCATTGATTTGATTTTTGGTTTGCTTGTAGGGTGCTGGCACCCACAGTCAGTGACCCAAAAAATTTGGCACTGCTGTGAATAGGTTAGTCGCAAAGTGAAGATTCACGGGTAAAAAGCCCCAAACTGTGAGATTGGTTATTTTTCACCTTTCAGCAGCCCTGGGCAAGTTCTTTGGAGAAATGTGGCTCTTTTTCTTGGTGCACTTGTCTATGTCCAGCTGCACAACGAGATGAGGCTGGTCATTGTCATTTCCTGAGCTGTGAACGGGCAGGAAGGTGAGAAAATGTCGGATTTTGACCATTTGTGCTGACCTTTGAATTTCAATGTACCTCTCTATAACATGACCCAGCTGTAATGTCAGTGGTCCCATTGATTTGATTTTTGGTTTGCTTGTAGGGCGCTGGCACCTACATTCAGTGACCCAGAAAATGTGGCACTGCTGTGAATAGTTTAGTCGCAAAGTGAAGATTCACGGGTAAAAAGCCCCAAACTGTGAGATTGGTTATTTTTCAGCTTTCAGCAGCCCTGGGGGAGTTCTTTGGAGAAATGTGGCTCTTTTCCTTGGTGAAATTGTCTATGTCCAGCTGCACAACGAGATGAGGCTAGTCATTGTCATTTTCTGAGATGTGAACGGGCAGGAAGGTGAGAAAATTTCGCATTTTGACCATTTGTGCTGACCTTTGAATTTCAATGAACCTCTCTATAACATGACCCAGCTGTAATGTCAGTGGTCGTTTTGATTTGATTTTTGGTTTGGTTGTAGGGCGCTGGCACCTTCATTCAGTGACCCAGAAAATGTGGCACTGCTGTGAATAGTTTAGTCGCAAAGTGAAGATTCACGGGTAAATACCCAAAACTGTGAGATTGGTTATTTTTCAGCTTTCAGCAGCCCTGGGCAAGTTCTTTGGAGAAATGTGGCTCTTTTTCTTGGTGCACTTGTCTATGTCCAGCTGCACAACGAGATGACGCTGGTCATTGTCATTTTCTGAGCTGTGAACGGGCAGGAAGGTGAGAAAATGTCGGATTTTGACCATTTGTGCTGACCTTTGAATTTCAATGTACCTCTCTATAACATGACCCAGCTGTAATGTCAGTGGTCGCATCGATTTGATTTTTGGTTTGCTTGTAGGGCGTTGGCACCCACATTCAGTGACCTAAAAATGTGGCACTGCTGTGAATAGTTTAGTCGCAAAGTGAAGATTCACGGGTAAAAAGCCCCAAACTGTGAGATTGTTTATTTTTCAGCTTTCAGTAGCCCTGGGCTTGTTCTTTGGAGAAATGTGGCTCTTTTTCTTGGTGCACTTGTCTATGTCCAGCTGCATAACGAGATGAGGCTGGTCATTGTCATTTTCTGAGGTGTGAACGGGCAGGAAGGTGAGAAAATGTCGGATTTTGACCATTTGTGCTGACCTTTGAATTTCAATGTACCTCTCTATAACATGACCCAGCTGTAATGTCAGTGGTCGCGTTGATTTGATTTTTGGTTTGCTTGTAGGGCGCTGGCACCTTCATTCAGTGACCCAGAAAATGTGGCACTGCTGTGAAGAGTTTAGTCGCAAAGTGAAGATTCACGGGTAAATACCCCAAACTGTGAGATTGGTTATTTTTCAGCTTTCAGCAGCCCTGGGCAAGTTCTTTGGAGAAATGTGGCTCTTTTGCTTGGTGCACTTGTCTATGTCCAGCTGCATAACGAGATAAGGCTGGTCATTGTCATTTTCTGAGCTGTGAACGGGCAGGAAGGTGAGAAAATGTCGGATTTTGACCATTTGTGCTGACCTTTCAATTTCAATGTACCTCTCTATAACTTCACCCAACTGTAATGTCAGTGGTCGCATTGATTTGATTTTTGGTTTGCTTGTAGGGCGCTGGCACCCACATTCAGTCACCCAGAAAATGTGGCACTGCTGTGAATAGTTTAGTCGCAAAGTGAAGATTCACGGGTAAAAAGCCCCAAACTGTGAGATTGGTTATTTTTCAGCTTTCAGCAGCCCTGTGCAAGTTCTTTAGAGAAATGTGGCTCTTTTTCTTGGTGCACTTGTCTATGTCCAGCTGCATAACGAGATGAAGCTGGTCATTGTCATTTTCTGAGCTGTGAACGGGCAGGAAGGTGAGAAAATGTCGGATTTTGACCATTTGTGCTGACCTTTGAATTTCAATGTACCTCTCTATAACATGACCCAGCTGTAATGTCAGTGGTCGCATTGATTTGATTTTTTGTTTATTTGTAGGGCGCTGGCACCCACATTCAGTCACCCAGAAAATGTGGCACTGCTGTGAATAGTTTAGTCGCAAAGTTAAGATTCACGGGTAAAAAGCCCCAAACTGTGAGATTGGTTATTTTTCAGCTTTAAGCAGCCCTTGGCAAGTTCTTTAGAGCAATGTGGCTCTTTTTCTTGGTGCACTTGTCTATGTCCAGCTGCACAACGAGATGGGGCTGGTCATTGTCACTTTCTAAGCTGTGAACCGGCAGGAAGGTGAGAAAATGTCGGATTTTGACCATTTGTGCTGACCTTTGAATTTCAATGTACCTCTCTATAACATGACCCAGCTGTAATGTAAGTGGTCGCATTGATTTGATTTTTGGTTTGCTTGTAGGGCGCTGGCACCTTCATGCAGTGACCCAGAAAATGTGGCACTGCTGTGAATAGTTTAGTCGCAAAGTGAAGATTCACGGGTAAAAAGCCCCGAACTGTGAGATTGGTTATTTTTCAGCTTTCAGCAGCCCTGGGCAAGTTCTTTGGAGAAATGTGGCTCTTTTTCTTGGTGCACTTGTCTATGTCCAGCTGCACAACGAGATGAGGCTGGTCATTGTCATTTTCTGAGCTGTGAACGGGCAGGAAGGTGAGAAAATGTCGGATTTTGACCATTTGTGCTGACTTTTGAATTTCAATGTACCTCTCTATAACATGACCCAGCTGTAATGTCAGTGGTCCCATTGATTTGATTTTTGGTTTGCTTGTAGGGCGCTCGCACCTACATTCAGTGACCCAGAAAATGTGGCACTGCTGTGAATAGTTTAGTCGCAAAGTGAAGATTCACGGGTAAAAAGCCCCAAACTGTGAGATTGGTTATTTTTCAGCTTTCAGCAGCCCTGTGCAAGTTCTTTAGAGAAATGTGGCTCTTTTTCTTGGTGCACTTGTCTATGTCCAGCTGCACAACGAGATGAGGCTGGTCATTGTCATTTTCTGAGCTGTGTACGGGCAGGAAGGTGAGAAAATGTCGGATTTTGACCATTTGTGTTGACCTTTGAATTTCAATGTACCTCTCTATAACATGACCCAGCTGTAATGTAAGTGTTCGCGTTGATTTGATTTTTGCATTGCTTGTAGGGCGCTCGCACCTACATTCAGTGACCCAAAAAATGTGGCACTGCTGGGAATAGTTTAGTCGCAAAGTGAAGATTCACGGGTAAAAAGCCCCAAACTGTGAGATTGGTTATTTTTCAGCTTTAAGCAGCCCTGTGCAACTTCTTTAGAGAAATGTGGCTCTTTTTCTTGGTGCACTTGTCTATGTCCAGCTGCACAACGAGATGAGGCTGGTCATTGTCATTTTCTGAGCTGTGAACGGGCAGGAAGGTGAGAAAATGTCGGATTTTGACCATTTGTGCTGACCTTTGAATTTCAATGTACCTCTCTATAACTTCACCCAACTGTAATGTCAGTGGTCGCATTGATTTGATTTTTGGTTTGCTTGTAGGGCGCTGGCACCCACACTCAGTGACCCAGAAAATGTGGCACTGCTGTGAATAGTTTAGTCGCAAAGTGAAGATTCACGGGTAAAAAGCCCCAAACTGTGAGATTGGTTATTTTTCAGCTTTCAGCAGCCCTGTGCAAGTTCTTTAGAGAAATGTGGCTCTTTTTCTTGGTGCACTTGTCTATGTCCGGCAGCACAACAAGATGAGGCTGGTCATTGTCATTTTCTGAGCTGTGACCGGGCAGGAAGGTGAGAAAATGTCGGATTTTGACCATTTGTGCTGACCTTTGAATTTCAATGTACCTCTATAACTTGACCCAACTGTAATGTCAGTGGTCGCATTGATTGGACTTTTGGTTGTCTTGTAGGGCGATGGCACCCACATTCAGTCACCCAAAAAATGTGGCCCTGCTGTGAATAGTTTAGTCGCAAAGTTAAGATTCACGGGTGAAAAGCCCCAAACTGTGAGATTGGTTATTTTTCAGCTTTAAGCAGCCCTAGGCAAGTTCTTTAAAGAAATGTCGCTCTTTTTCTTCGTGCACTTGTCTATGTCCAGCTGCACAACAAGATGAGGCTGGTCATTGTCATTTTCTGAGCTGTGAACGGGCAGGAAGGTGAGAAAATGTCGGATTTTGACCATTTGTGCTGACCTTTGAATTTCAATGTTCCTCTCTAAAACATGCCCCAGCTGTAATGTCAGTGGTCGCATTGATTTGATTTTTGGTTTGCTTGTAGGGCGCTGGCACCCACATTCAGTGACCCAAAAAATTTGGCACTGCTGTGAATAGTTTAGTCGCAATGTGAAGATTCACGGGTTAAAAGTCCTAAACTGTGAGTTTGGTTATTTTTCAGCTTTCAGCAGCCCTGGGCAAGTTCTTTGGAGAAATGTGGCTCTTTTTCTTGGTGCACTTGTCTATGTCAAGCTGCATAACGAGATGAGGCTGGTCATTGTCATTTTGTGAGCTGTGAACGGGCAGGAAGGTGAGAAAATGTCGGATTTTGACCATTTGTGCTGACCTTGTTACTGAATTGTTTCTACTACTACTAGCTTAATTAACCACCCCTGCATCCAACCCTTGGCATGCTACAACCGACAACCGTTGCAAACTTGGGTGAGAGAATACATACAGTAGATTCAGTATAAACTTTGGAAAGAAGATCATCGAAAGAAATGAAAAGGCAGCTGCATCAGCATGCAGCTGCGCATCAAAATCAAATGTAAAGATGGCGACCATGATGACTGCGACGTGGATAAACTGCAAAACAAACTAGTGCAGCGACACTGACTCGAATGAGTAAAGAAGCGGAGAAGACGAAACGGCAAGGAAAGCGGATCGCTACGATCGCTCAAATGCACTAGCCTAGAGTAGAGCGTGCATATATAGCGCATGCAGTCAAACGGTCACGTGATAAGTGCGTACACAAGTCATACGTCATAATAATGCAGTTGACAAAGAAAAGGAAACAAAGCTGAGCGCGCGCGAGGCAAACAAATCTGCAGAGCGCGAAAATATAAACACATTGAACGAAGGATTTGTTTGAGAACAAAATGCACAGGCAGACAAAGAAGAAACAGTTCGAAGCTAGAATCAATGTCCGTGTTTCTTAGAATCAATCATGGAGAAAGCTAACTAAGAGTAACTACCTCTGTCACGCAAGACCGGACCTAAACACCTACGAAGTAAGAATTGATGTGTTACGAGAAATACGTGTAGTGAAATAAATTGGTGTGCATTGCATCGTGACACAACTTGCCAAGCTGCATGTACGTGATTGTAAATGTACAAACAACATGCAACGTCGTAGTAAGCACAATCGTAACTCGTGAATTCCGTGTTGTTGACTCAAGGCAAGCAGTACCTCGTGTACACGCTGACAACGACGAACGAATTGATTAGACTCTGATAATAAATACTAATAATATGAAAGAACAACAAAACGTAAATGTCACCTACGATTACACAACACCTCTCCCCGAGGTGAATTTACAAGGAGAGGCGAACAGGGGGGCGAATCGAAGCACGATCGCGCAACCCATAACCATGCTGAACGACAGGAATAGGCCAATCTAGACTGACTAGCGATTCCTCCTCCTCGGGCAACTCAGCAACAACAGGAGCTGGAACATTAAGAACAGCAGGCTCACGAACGGGAACAGACTTCAACAGGGCGACATTGACAGTCTTGTCTCGACGACCAGGCTTCGAAATACTAACAGTGGAGGGTGAAACAACAGACTGTACAACCCAACCGTCCTCGAAAGCAGACTGACGTTTCTGGTGACGGTCAGGACGCAACAACAGGACACAATCACCAACCTGGTAAGGGCACGGTTGGACGGGCTCGATAAAGTCTGTTCGGGACAAAGCATCATCCACCAAATCTCGCATGCGTGCTGAACGAGCAGACAGGGTATCCACCCAATGACTCGCCGAGTACAGCAATGGCTCGGATGCAATTAACAGATGAGGTGGCTGCCAACCAACCATAGCTTGCGTGGGCGACAGACCAGTTGCACTATGGGGGCGATTACGGTAGCAGTACAAGAGCATATCAAGGTCCAACAGCCAATCACCAGTGGACGAATCTAAAACCTTGCGCATCAGCCCGAGCACAGTGCGATTCATGCGCTCCGCAGACCCTTGTGATTGCGGGTGACGCACAGCACCAGTACGAACAGT